ACTCACTGAGATGAGTTACAATATTGATTATTTACTTTAATTGAATTATAAATGCAAAATATATAATTTTGGGTATCGCTCAACTGAGGGATGCATTTCAATAATGGCAATATTGTTTTCACCTCTGTATATTGCGACTCGATTTAGGAATGGTGATTTACATTTTAGCCAAATATATGGAGAATGCTCTCTCTGTTCCTAATTGAATTTGATGCTTTATATTTTGGGTGTTATACCAATTGATTACTGGAGTGTTTTTAACTGAAAATTATTTTGCTCAAAGTCAATAAACTGATGTGCATCACCACTCCATACGATTGAGATGTAAATTTTGTGCGCGTGTTTTTTCCTGCTTTCTAGAAAGAATTGCATAGTATTAAACATCAAGATGAGTAGAAGGTCACCATAAAAGCAAGCACGGTGACTTGTGCATCTTGTGGATGTCCACTTGTTGGTTAATTCTTAAAGGGATACATTGGAATAATGGCGTTCGAAATGTTTTGTGGATGGCAGCTCAGTGATGAAAAGATTGACATTGCAAAAGTAGAAGAACAAGCTGCACAGTTGGAAAGGGATCTGATTGTGAAAGAAAGGGAAACGCTCGATGTTCTCAAGGAACTGGAAACCACTAAAAATATTGTCGAAGAGCTGAAATCAAAGCTGCGGAAAGAAGCATTTGAAATCAATGCAACCGTTGCTGCAAATTCAGTTGATACCAAGGTCAATTCTGCTGCTGCTGGCATATGGGAAAAGGAAAGTCGTGAAAACTGTTTGAATCTTCAGCAAAATGGGATTAGCTGTTTGGACAAGTGTCCTTCCTCGGCTCCGGGCTTCATACTACGGGAACTGAAACAGGCTAAACTTAACTTAACGAGGACTACTAATGATCTTGCAGATATTCAAGCTACAGTTAACCTATATAACAAGAAAATCGAGAAAGAGAGAATGTCGCTTGAGAAGACTCACCAAAGGTTGTCTTCAAGTACCTCAAAGGTTTCGTATCTCAAGGAAGAATTAAACCTTACAAAACAGAAACTACTGCTGGTAAAAGACACTGAGGACCTCAGTAGATCTCAAGATTCCTTGGGTGTCGCAAGAGAGCTAGAAAAGCTAAGTTATGAGACGGACCAATTTAAGAAAGTGGGAGAAGCTGTAAAATTAGAAGTTCTAAGGGCAACCTCTGAGATTGAACAGACAAAAACTAGAATTAAAACTGCTGAGATAAGGTTGATAGCTGCTAAAAAATTGAAGGCAGCAGCAATAGCTTCTGAAGCTGTGGCTCTTGCAGAAATCAAAGCATTATCAAAAGGTGAGAATTCATCTGCAGATTTGAAGCAGAAGTCGGGAAGTGTAACTCTTACTCTCGAGGAATACTCATCCCTAATTTCCCAAGCTCGAGAAGCGGAGGGAGCTTGTAAAGGGAGGGTAATGGATGCAGAGGTTCTAGTCAATGAAGCTAACGTGTCTAAAACAGAAATCTTGAAAAAGGTAGAAGAGGCTGCTGAAGAAGTTAAAATTACCAAAATGGCCTTGGAAGAAGGATTGAATAGAGTGGAGGCGGCAAATAAAGATAAATTGGCAGTTGAAGAGGCTCTCCGAAAATGGAGATCTGATCATGTTAAGAAAAGACGTTCTGTACACAACTCTACCAGATTTAAGAATTCTTGTTCATCTCACCTTCGGAAAGAATCTTCTCTTCTTGATGTAAGTGGTCTGGATTTGGTCGATAATGAGTCAAAACCAGTTTTGAAGCCGTGTCTATCCATTGGGCAAATAATGAGCCGGAAACTGCTTCTAAAAGAAGAATATGAGAATGGGATGCAGGCAGAAAAGAACAAAAACCAAGTCGCCCTGGGACAAATTCTTAGCCAACCTAGTAAAGATCCACTTTCTGTTAAAAAAACTGGGAAAGAAAACGCTGAAGAGCAACTCCGTGGAAAGAGAAAGAAGTTTGGTTTTGCTCGGATCTCACTCTTTGTGACAATGCAAAGTAAGAAGAAGAAGAAACAAAAGGGAAGTTCAAGCTTTGACGACGTATAGATAAACTTGCCGGATCATCAAGTTTCTTTGTCATTAATTCTGCAACAGGTTTATTAGGCTTGTTTAGTCTAGGAAGATTGTATGGTTCCCTAACTTATGGATTGTTTCCCCACCATTGGTCTCTTAGATTGTTGGAATGTAGCTCTTTTATGTGAGCAAGGAGTAGTGCCTATTTCTTCAGTATGTGTGAAACTGAGAAATTGTGGTTTGTGTAGAAATATATGATTTAACATGGATGTTTAGTCTTTAGTCTGGAATGTCATTGTGTGCACAACCTTCTACTTTAGCCCATTCTGACAATTGGGTTGTTGATTAATAATTTGTATGCCATTATGCAACAAATATATTAAGTGGTCGCATGACAGGGCTTTTGTTTACTTATAGAAACAACTTTTTGAGGAAGTTATTCTAGATCAATTTTCTATAAAAGCTTTTTTTAGTTGGACAAATTACTTTCAGAAAATTATTCAAACTTGTTTAGAAGCGGCTTCTTAATTTTATAAGCAGTTTTTTTTACTTTCAAAAGCGTTAACAAACAAGCCCTAAGAACTTTCTTTGGCTTCCATGTCAAGGGCAGTACAATGATGTTGAATGTTAGATTGTGAATTTGAAAAGTGTTGCGAACATAAAACTTGAAGCAGTTAACTAACAAAATTTTGTTTGAGGTCATTATTCTCAATCTCTATTTTTTGTTAGAAAATAATTTTTTTGCCAAAAACTAAATTTGACCAAGGTTTACTAAACTAGTGAATGAAAATTTTAAAATTTTTGTCATTGCGTAATTAAATAACAAGTTTTGGATACATATTGTGGATAAATATGACGTGAAGTTAATGGTAACAAATTAATTTTAAAAAAAAATGTGTGTGTATATATATGTATAAAGATTAAAATAATAATTTGGTACGTAAAGGGCAATAAAAAAAATTTAAAACATAAACACAGTGTAAAAGTAAGAAATTACAAAAATAAACAATTTATTTCTGGTCTCATCCGCTTATTATTTCATCTTGATCCTTACAAAGAGCCCTTCAGATTTGCATTAACGTACATACAATTTCAAAAAAAAAAAAAATTTAATTCAGAATAAATAGCCAAGTAGAAAATGGGTCAACATGTTATCAAGTCAATTTGAATTGTTCAGATAATGTTATTTATAATTAACGACTACAGTAGTTATCATATGCACCATCTTCATGACATAGCATTATTAAAAATTATTTCTTTTTGAATTATTAAAATTATGTCACGTAAGATGACTATCATAGTCACTGAACCTGAATCAAATAAGAGAAAATTACATAAAAGCAGGCATTTAAAATTTCTAATTCAAAATTCAGATGGAAAGTTTATTTAAGCAAAAATCAGGTATCAATTCAATTTATCCACCAACTCCGCTACAAAACCTAATTTCTTTCCCCCAAATGGCCCATACTCTCTCTCTCTCTCTCTCTCTCTCTCAACCCACAGAGTTATATCTCTTCTCCTTTATCGTCTTTGCGAACGGTGACTGTCTTACTACTGCCGATCGATGCTCTGGCATCGAGGAATGCTGACAGTTCTCGGGCGAAGCTGATTCCTTGCGAATGGCGACTCTGCGATAGGTGACCGGTGCGAACAGCGACACAACTATGCAGCTGTTGTAGGTTCGAACGACGACTCTTTGAATGATGACTAGTGCCGGAGTGGGGAGGGGTATTGTGATTTTTTGGTGTTATCTCTTTCACTTTTCGATTTACAAGTAGTGATTTTGGAGTTTTGTTGGTTGTATTTTCAAATCTTGGCCGTGGTTATGGTGGTGATGTAGATAGTAGCATCTGATTGTTTGTGGTTTTGGGAGGATGTGATTGTAATGTTGGTTGTGATGGTGGTCGTGGTTGAGGAAGTGGTGGCGGTGGTTGTAGTGGGACGTTGTGGGATAGGAGTGTGGTGGTGTGGTGGTGGTGCAACGATCAGGGACGGAAGCAGAGATTCTTAGTTAGGGGCACAATCAAAATATTACAAATCGAATACTTTATTTTTTATTTTTGAATGATTTATAATTGACCAGGAAAATGCAGATTTACATTTAAAAAATATTTATTCATTAATATTTTACTCATCATTTCATCAATTTGATCATTTTATTAATATTTTGCTCGTCATAAGAAAATACATATTTATATTTAAAAAATTATAGTGTATTTAATACAAACAATTAATTCAAGCGATCAAAAGAAAAAATATATAACTAATATTCAATCAAATAAATACATTTTTTTAAATATAAGATAAATTGGATATAATTAATTCAGTCACATTCTATGTATACTAGTGATGGCAAAAAAATTCATCCCGCTCCGATAGGTTAGCGGGGCGGGGCGGGGCAGGATGGGGCGCCCGTCGCGTGTTGTGGGGTGGGGGTGCCCCGCACCATGAATTTTTGTTTTTATTTTTTTTTTAAATTTCAAGTTATATTATTATTAGATAATAAAATACAAATATAAAATTTTAATTAATTACAAAAGAAATAAAATTTAGTCAAAACGTAATTTTATTTGAAATTGTTTAATTTTTAACATTGTTTATTTCAAGTGTTTACTTTGAATTTTAAACTTTTGAATTTATATTTTATTCTCTAATAATAACATAATTTGAAATTTAAAAAAAAAAGAATTAAACGGGGCGAAAAATGGGACGTGGCGTCGCAAACGCGGCGGGGCGGGGCAAACCTGCCCCCACTGCCATCCCTAATGTATACAAATAGGATAGAAGAAAATACAAATTTAGGTTCTAATTAATTGAAATTTTGATTGGAAAGTGAAAATTTGTAGTAAATATGATAATTTATGAAAAAATTATAGACAAATTTTAAAAAATTAGAAAGGTTAAGGTTTTGGTAAAAGATGTGAGGGTGAGCGTATGATAGAGCAAGAGAAAAAAGAAAAAAAATTCAATTTTTTTTTCTTTTGCCATGTTTTGGTGGAGGTTAAAATTAGATTTTTAGTATATTTTGATAAAAGTTAAAAAGTTAAAGATTCCATGAAATATGTTATTAAAATTAATTGTTAACTTTAATTTATATTAAAATTTAGATTTCAATTGATACCAAACAGAACTTATCCAAAAAATAAATAATAATAATCTCGAAAGTTGGGGGTCACATGACCTTGCCTGGACCCCATTGGGTCCGCCTATGGCAACGATGGTGGTGTTTCTAGTTGGTGGTACTGTGGGTGCGATGGTACTGTGGGTGTAGTGGTGTTGATAAGGTTGGGAGGTGGTGTATTGTTGAGTGTGTTTGGAGGTGTTTTCTGATTGTTGTGGTCCTAGTGGCTACGATGGTTTCTAGTGGTGGTTGTGTTGGCCATGAGACTGGTGAGTTTATGGGTTGGATATTGTTGGTGTATTTGGTGGTGGCGATCGCGGTGGTTTTTGGTGGCAACGACTTTGTTGGTGGTAAAGTGGTGGTGGTGTTGTGGTTGTAGCGATGGTGACGGGTGAGAGTTGTTGCAAGTGTAGGTGGTGGCAGTGGAGTTGGTGGTTGTATGTGACCGATTATTTGACATGTGACCGATTGTTGGTATTGGTGGTGGTGGTGTTGGGATCGGGATCGGATGTTGGATGTTTGTGACCAACTATTTGGTCTCGTTTGTGAATGTGACATTAAAATTCGATCATTTTTCATTAACAAGCAATCTGTGACCATTAAATTTGAAAATATATGACATGTGACCTATAATTTTTTGAATTTGTGACCAATGATGTGAGCCGTAACCTACAAAATTTTGATTTATGACCTCAAACAAATCCGTGATTAATTAATTTGATGATATGTGATTAGTAAATAAATTTGTGAATTATAATTGTTAATCTGTGACCATTAACCATACAACTATGATTTTATTATCATTATTTAATAAATATTTTTAATTAATTAGTTAAAACGTGATTTTTGTATTAATGAAACTTGTTACCTGAATTTTGAATTATGCATACTTAAAAGCCTAAATTACGAACTCTTTCCCATCAAATAATTAAAGCTAATGGTGCCAAATTAGTTGGGCTTTGCTAAGGCTGCTACGTTGTCCGTTCATCTTGAGATTTTCATATTTATAATTACTTCCATAATAAATTATCCTCATTAATAAATTTATTGGGCAATAAATTTGTTAGCTATGGTGGGCCATACTGTCTTTGTTATTGGACAATAGCAGATATTATTTGATTCCAACTCTAATTCGACAATTCAAGTGCTGCGTTCATAAAGATAAACCCATTGCGTAAAGCAAGAAGGAAAACTTGCTGTTGTCTTCTCCTGTAGACACACCCTTCTCGTTCTAAATTAAGGTTAAAAAAATTTATTTCTTTTCCTTTAATTGCAATTATTATTTACTTCATGGATCATATCCGTGTCGAAAGTATTGTTAATTTATGCGGAGTTGCTTGATTTGATTCTTACGGGATCAATTCTATTGCTTTATTTTTATTTTTATTTTTGTGGATTTTACTGATAAGTGGGATTAGTTTTGATTGCTGGCTAGTTAATTCAGCATCAATTTTGATCATTCACCAATATTTTGTCAAGTGAATTTATTTTTGCTTATACTCTCAATTCTTAACACATAAAGGGTTAAGTTTTCCTTTTCGGGACAATTTTTATGTAAATTGTTGTTCCAGAAATTTGAAGTCAACTTCTTCCCTGGTTTATGCGTTGACAACCAAATGATATTGCCTTGTTGGTTTATAATATGCTATTTTCTACTAATTTGTGACTTAACTCCTTGTAGAATTTTGACTCGTCACACAAAATTATAGAATTGTGCGCATCGAATCTGTACGGCATATGATATATTTGGGTATTCTTTGAGAATGGCTGTAAAGTTGGGTCTGGAGACATGCATAAGCAGTAAAGATTTTAAATTAAGCTCAAGCTTCTAGATTTTTTTCTTAAGGTTAAGTTTGAATTTCAATTGCTCAACGGAGTGGATGAGTGCAAACCTGATGGAAAAAAAATGACGCAATAAAAATATTTAAGTCAGAGTGATGGTGATATAAAGACTAGCCTTTTTGCCTAAGGTATAGGCTAATTTGCAATGAATAGGTTGCCCGACTGAGGCAATGTGCTAGCTAAATGTTGGTGCTCTGGAACTGGAAGTTTTTCTGAAGCAGGCATAAATAAAGTAGAATTATTTATTTCAGCTCAGGTTTTTGAAGTTTGACTGTACTGTATATCATAGAGAAGTTGCTCAATTGGGTGTTAGTATTTTAATTTGACTGTATTGTGCATTATTTCTTTGATTATTGTGTTGGTAACAACAATCTTGCTACTGTTTTATGCTGCTTGCAGATTGTGTCTTTAGTACATTTCCCTTCTGACGTGCTTGGCATCATAATAGTGATTGAAGTAAAAAAAGATTTATATAAATATTAAATTTATCTTTTTTTTTTTTTTTTTTATAGATAATTTATCATTGATGTGATCAAAGAACACATCATTGGTATAGGGTGTCTACCATATTAAGTCAAGGTGAATATAATGGCCAAGATGTAACTGCATGTTAGTTTTTAATTTCCACCAAAACACTTGGATCATCCCTTTTAATTGTCATCTTGGAGGTTCTGCCTTTCTCTAATTGCTCTTTACTGAATGATGTTATTTAACACTAATTACATTTGCCTATGTGATCTCCATTCATTTTTTTGGTGTATATATGTAATTCAATTCTAGATTGTGGGATCTCTCTCTCTCTCTCTCTCTCTCTCTCTCTGTTACTCCCCTTCATGATTTTGGGGTGACAGAATATTTCTTTAGCAGCATGGATACGAGGGTGCTTTTAGTTCTATTCATTGTCAGCACGTGCTGGTGCTGTAATGCTAGAGAGCTGTTGACTGCTAACCACTTTAATAGAAACGATGAGAGTTTTTCAGGTACTTCTTTGGTCTATTTCTCTTAATCTCCTTGCATGACACATGCTTCTCACCATAAAATGGACTAAGTTAAATGAAAAGTTCATCCAAAAATTTGTTCAATTAGGATAGTATTGCCTATTCAAAAGATGTAAAGATTAAAAGAAGTCATTTAATTTTCTATGTAGACTTCTTGAAACTATTCAAACTCTTCTATTACGTCCTTATAGAGCACAATAAATAACTTTGGTTGCAGAACAGGGATTTGTTTGAAACTGATATGGCTTTATTGATAATATGAACAAAAGTAATTTTGATGACAAAAACAAATCAAATAATAATGCCTTTCTTGTACTGCCAGTCCTGCAGACAAACAACAAGCTGTCAGAGGGAGAATCCCACCTTGTGGAAGAAGTTAGCAAGAACAATGAATTGTGTACATTATGCGAAGATTTCGCTTCTGAGGCACTTAATTATCTTTCAGAGAACAAAACCCAAACAGAGATCATTAGCATCCTTCACAAATCCTGCTCCAAGATACCGACAATCAAACAGCAGGTATTTGTAGAACATGGGCTGAAATGATAACTGCTTACCAAAATTTAATGTTGGGATTCTATGCAATCATTAAATGATTGTGATCCTCTAAAGTGATCTATCTGAAAGTACTTTTACCCACATGAATTAGTCACCACTACTTAAATTCATCATAGTTTGCGAGTATGCTTAAATTATTGTGAGTTCAAACTTCAAGGTAATGTTTTACTTCTTTGACGATGTATTTGCATTACCAGTCAGTTAGCTGCTTGCTATGATGCACCGTGTCGGATACGTCGACTCGTGATTTTTCAAAAAAGTACCGACACGACACGTTGTCGACATGTTCATTAAATTCTTTAAAATTCTTCATTTATATAGTTTAAATTTAGTTTTATACTTATTATTGAGTTTTTTGTTGAAATCTTTTAAATATGAGTACGTATTTGTTATTTACTAATAACTTTGAGTTAAAAATATATAATAGCTATAGTAAGAAAGGAAAATGATTATTATAGAGTGTCCGAAAAGTGTCAGTATCGACACGCATCCGACACGTGTCGGACACGGACACGCTACCCTAGTTAGAGTGTTCGTGCTACATATGATTATTTATGTTTTCATTCAAGCATGAAAAAGAAAATCAGTTTTATGTATTTGTTTTGATGGTTATTTGTACGTCCACTTGAATGACATCCATTTGTTTACACTAGAGCTAATTTAGTTTTTCTTTTCTCAATGTAAACAGTACATGTTTTGTCGATTCCGAACTATATTACTTAAATTCTGTTGAAGCATAACGTCCTCAACCATATGGGGCTAATGTAGTCATTTATGAAAGGACACTCCGCTGGTTAACTGTGTGAATTACTTCTTTACGGAAACTTGAGGAATCATTATTTCTACTTATTCTGTCCACCATAGGCAGAGGATAGAAAATCCAATTTCTCTAGCACAAGAACTAAATTCCAGTACCTATAATCCTTGTGCTATATCAAGCCTAACACTTCATGTCCATTCTGGAAATTTTGTCCATGCAGTGCAATGTATTGGTGGACTATTACGCCCCCCTCTTTTTCTTAGAAGTTTCCACTATACAACCTGACTATTTCTGCCAAAAGGTTGACCTTTGCGAACAAGCGGTTTCCATATCTCAGCAGCTCTCTAAAAATACATGTGATATATGCCATCATGCCGTTACAGAGGCTTTACTAAAGTTGAAAGATCCTGACACTCAGGTACTTTTATGACTTCATCTGGTAACCACAATATTATGAACTTAAGAAGCTATTCTGCAACTTAAAGTCTATGGATGCTTGCATTTCTTGAATAAGAAATTTTGTTGTTTATACAGGTTTGGTTTGGGATCCAATGCTCACTATCTCTGTGATCTTTCTATTAAAATACAGCAAAATATCACCCTGATTAACGGTTCCCTTGTTTGATATTTTTCTAGGCTTACTTTAGGGATTGCTAACTGTCAGTTATAAAACTGTCCATCACCTATCTCATTTAGAATTACATGTCTCATGGCAGTTGCACTTCTTATTAATATCATTAGTTCAAGAAAATTGTGTAGATGAAAGTTAAAACATACATAGAATGAACTATATCCACCTATGTCATTCCCCGTGCCTCTGTATAACATACACACATACATAAGTTTATAAATCCTCACAAGCACGCACACGTAAATTGAAAGCTGTACTACAATTGTGCTGATTAATAATTAAAAATCATATGGAAATGAAATTGCTACTGCAATAGTTGGGGTTTCTGGTACTAATATCTTTAAGATGAAGTTTCATATTCACTTAAGATCCTACATTGGAAAAAGTTTGTTTGATCCATAGAGCATAGTGGAAGTAACACATTGGCATAGAGCGGATTGTTCAATGGGCAAATATTGAAGAATTTTCTACAGTTCCATAAAAGCCTGTAATGTCAAAATGCAAGTTGTGCAGATTAAATATCATATTAGTTATTCTCCATGATACTGAGTGTTGCTCATTTAAAGAATTTTTTCCCCCCCTCAAAAGATCAACATAGCAGAAAATGAAGATGTTAAGATGGATGGTGGATGTTTGATCATTGTCGAGTGGATAAATAAGAAATGAGGTATATGCCAACTAGTTTAGGAGGAAGCAATTAAGAACTAATGAAGAGAAGAACTTAAATTGTCAGGGCATGTGTATGGGCAGATCTAAAGAACTTGTTTACAAAGATCATTCCAATCAGTAGAACATTTTAGAATAGGCAGTAATGGGCCAAAATTAACGACCCAGCATTGTTGCAAAAGTTTCATTTGACCTTTCGATAGTGGATCTGACCCCAAAATTGTTGAGAATTAGGCTTAGATTACAATTTAGATTTTCAGGGCATGTATTTGGGCAAGATCTAAAGAACTTGTTTACAAGATCATTCCAATCAGTAGAACATTTTAGAATAGGTAGTAATAGGCCAAAATTAACGACCCGGCATTGTTGCAAAAGTTTCATTTAACCTTTCAATAGATGGATCTGACCCCAAAATTGTTGAGAATTAGGCTTAGATTACTGTTGTTCTTCCTTGGCCTTCTGTTTACGAGTAAGTTAAGGTAGCTAGTGCTTTAGAGGTTTGTGTATTTGAAGAAGGCAAAATTCAGACAACAGGACCTATTGCTAAATATATTGCATGAGGGAGTATTTGTTTCAGAAACACCTTCGAGACCTTTAGCTAAATGTGGAAACGTTGAAATGTGAAGCACAGTGAATGTTTTCAGGAAGCATGCTTTCAATGGAATGAGCTAGTCCCTTCTAAAATTCTATTGAAAGCTGATATCTTTGGCTGGTAGCAGCCATGGGATTATAGGTGACACTTCTGTAGCATCTGCTTGGTGTTTTCGAGGCCTAAACCCAATGGATGGGCTCATCGAGGACTGATTAACATATGACTGGTGGAATAATGATTGCAGTTTCTGAACTTTGAGAGAAATCCTTGTTGAAAAATAATCAAAATTTCATGGTCAAATTTCTGGTATTTAGGTCATAATGTCAGGGATGATATGTGCAGCTAAAGGCTGGTTTTTTCAACATTGAATGCTGTCTTAAGGGTCATTTCTCATTCATTATCTTCTGTTCACTAGTTACCACCACAGTATTTCGTATTGATGAAATAATTTTTTTCCTTCTAAAATGGCTGGAATCTTTTCTTTGTTTCCTGCAAGAGTACATAGTTGAAATTCTCCAAATTTGCATTGCACGTAATTTGTTCATATTACATGATCATCAAGTAGATTTATGTTCGACTGCATTCATCTGTACTCCGGATTACAATGTTATTGTCAAAATCTCACCTGAAACATGGATTTTAAATTTTATTGAACACGTTTATAAGGTCAGGCTACGCATCAAATATAATCAAACCTACCTAATTCTCCAATATGTTGATTTAATGAAGCACGCAACTTTTTTTATGTTCTTCTTGGCCTTTGTTTCAGATAGAGATAATTGAGCTGCTCCTGAAGGCATGTAATTCCGTTGAAGGATATGCTAAAAAGGTAAGAAAATTTTGTGATTGACCTTGGTAAATGCAGTGAATGTTCATGACAGTCCTTCCTATTGCTTTTCATTTCTATTCGACAAATCTGTTTGGTGGCCGGGGGCCAGGGCAGTGTCAGCCCCTAGCTTGGGGGAGATGCAATCAATGCTTTCGGTGTTCTTGGGCTGCATAAAGTATGCATGCATGGCTTACTGTTGGTCATCATTTATTATGATGGTTTATATCCAGGTTTTGGTTTAAAATGGCCATTCGTTAATCCCCATATGGATGGCAATTTTATTTATTGAGGAAAATCCTTTTTCACAGCAGCAATTTATATAGTTTTTCTAGAAGGATTGGAAATTCTGAGGTTAAACGTTGCTGAACTCATATCTAAACATCTGATTGGAAAACTATATAAATCAATTTATAAATGGTCAAACTTCATTTCCAACTACGCATTCCAATGGACCCACTAGTATTATCCATTCATCCACCACTCATTTCTACCTTTTTATAAATTAAACCGTTTATAAATTCTTTCCAAGCGGAGACTAAGCTAAGCCACATGGGAGGAGGGTATCAATATAATTTTTTATTGCTACATTATCTTTAGATTGACTGAAAAGAGAAGGGCTTGGTTATTCCGACGAATAGTCTTAAAAAAAGTAGGCCGAACGAACTTGTTTCGATTTATCCAGCCTTTTTACTGTATTACTTAGGGTCCATTTTGGTGGTGAATACTATTTGGAATCTGTTACTAAATAGTTCCTATAATCCTTCACTAAAATAATTTACTGCATCTCAACTATAATCTAAAGGCATGTTTCTACTTTCAACTGAACTTCAGGTCTTAGATAATTTCTCAATTCACATAAAACTGTGAAGAAGGTTTCTGTTGGTTGAACAAATATTCCCACGACTGTCGTATTATCTCGACATAATAAAATGTTCTTTATCATATTTTTGCCAAGATTATCCTTTTCTGTAGTCCCTCAAAGAGTTAAATTTTTTTGTAGTTTCTCACTTGCATTAAATTTTAGTTGATACAAAACTTAGGGTACAGAAATCCATTAGCTTTTATCTCATATAACTCATAATTAATCGTGTTATTAGAGATAATGTCATGGCAGAAGTTCTTGTCATTAATTTGATGTGATCTTCGATTCATTTTGCAGTGTAAGAGATTGGTGTTTGAGTACGGGCCTCTAATTCTTGTTAATGCCGAGCAGTTCTTGGAAAAGAATGATGTATGTATCGCATTGCATGCTTGTGCTTCGACTGTGATTGGTGCAGAACAAGAAGCATTGGCAAGGGCACAGCATTCTGCATCTTAAGGGTCACAATCTCGACCAGTTTAGTAAAATTGTCACATTATTACATGCTACAACGTTCATGTGAAGATTGAATATTGCTTGATTTTAAAATATATTTTTACACTTCATGACAGATAGTCTTTGCATCTCAACTCTGTTGTATTTGCCTGAGATATACGGATAGTGTTTTCTTTCAAACTTTAATATTACATGTCCATTGCAATTTGCAACTAGTATTTGGGTGTGTTTGTTTGAGTTGTGTGGAATTTAGCTATGGAGTCGACCGAATTGATTTGTTTTAGCTACCGAATCTGTCGTCGCTAAATTTGAGGAAGCTTGTAACGACATTAATAACGCTTATTACATATTTCTTGAGGAAGATTAAACTCTACTAGACAGGATTAATGCGAAAAAGAACACGATGCTTCTGAATTTAACAAAATAACTTTTGAATCTAGAAAATCCTTCTGTTTCGATTTTATGTTTCGTTCATGTTACCAAAGAATTAAAGAAATAGGGTGAAATAGGGAAATTTGACCTAATCCAAATTTGGATTACCTGTCCAAAAAGAAAGGAAAATGCAAATTTAGAACAAATTTGGATTTTGATACTTGTACACTCCAGTGCACGAGTAGCAAGATCCAACAAATTTAGTATGTTGGATGGGACGACTCAGTGAACAAATATTTTATTTATTCCAACTTCCATGTTCTTTGTTTTGTCTATTTGTTAATTGTTCCATGCCGGAATTTTTCTGTTATTTTCAAAACCAAAATGTCGACCTATTTTGGGAATTTACTGTTAAAGAATATGCCAACAAATTACAATTTCCATTCATATGGTATGGAGAGAGAGAGAATTAATATACGGACCTTTGTCGTCATTTATGCCTAACAATAATTACTTCCGTGTAAAACTGGCCATAATTGAACGAAATATTATAGTTGAGCGCAGGCATTCCAACAGTGTTCAACTGTAAAACTCTCTTGTATAGAAAAGAAGCAAAGTATAACATATCCAGTTTATTCTCCTCTACACGAGGCCACCTCCCCTATATCATTCCTCCATTTTTAATCATAAGACCAAAGATGAAGTGCATCTGATGTGGAGTAAAGGCCACCAATATGAGGCCTCGATGTTGAAGAGTTTCCAGCGCCGTCTCTTGACCCTTCTCCTGTCCAGTCCTTTCTGCAACCGAGAAATATAAGAAACTAAGCACATCAGATGCACAAACAACCAAAGGTAAAACTATAATCATAAGAGAATGCAAGATGAAAGAAACCAAAGTAAATGTTATCTTTTCCAGCTTGGGGTGTGTTTCAAAAATCAGAAGGAATGACTAACCTCTCCAAGTAACAAAAATTTCCACACCTTTCTTTCCCAGAACACCCAGTGGTACCATACGCTAGAAGTCACAATTCCCTTTTGAAACTATCTAGATGAAACTCATTTCCCCCCTCTTATCTTGCACTTCCCTTCAGTCTCTCGAAGCTATTCATCTTTGTTGACTACACATTGGCTTGTTTTGCTATATCTTGGGATTATTTATATTATATTTTAGTCCCTAACTCAAACAGAAAGGCCAAAGTTCTCATAGAAACGTATCATTAACATTATTTTTTCAATTACTTGCCCAGCAGATATATCCAATTACCAGTCAAGGAAGTCTGATAGTAATTTTTGAAATTTCTCCCCAAGTATACTTATAAGAGAAAGGTAAACAAAACATAAAATTATAAGACATGAATAAAAAATAAGAAGCTATAGCCTAGAAAAATAAACAAAAACATAAGTAGACTGTAACGACCGGGTCTCTGTGCACAAACCATTAACTTATGTATTGTCCACTCTAGGAAAATCTAGCCCATCTGACCCCTGACGATTTTCTGTCGCGTCCCCAAAATTCTAACCACCATTTGATACCAGAATTCAATTTATGTCCATCTTAAGGGAAATGTCTTGAGTTCGCAAAAGAAAGCTGTAAAGGGTAAGATGGACTAGGCTCTTCTAATTAGTACTAGGATTCAACTTAAGTCTCTCTTAAATAAAAGATTATGAGTTCGAATCCTGGGAACGCGACAGAAAGTCGTGAAGGATAAGATGAATTAAGCTCTCTCAGAGCGGACAATACATAAGTTAATAGTTTGGGCACAGAGGTTGAGTCATTACATAAATTGTAGACTGGCAACAGATTAATTTGTTCAACGACCCACGAGCTATTATAAATAATAAGCCAAATTCAAAGACTGCACATATATAGAAAGAGAGAGAGCCACAAGAGGCTAAAGTCATGGACTCGGAGAACTCCCCTACCCATGTGGCATGGCAAGATTGTTTATTGCTATATTTTTGGAAGTGCACTAACGATGTCCCTTATACTGGTATGATGGCAAGCTTTCTACCTCTTTATATTGTGGGGGAAGACTGCCTTGGGGTGTCTCGGAACCTCAAGGGCTAAACGGGCGGTCCGTGACACTAAGCTCTAAAATGGAATTTGTCAACAAGTTAAGAGCAAATGAGGATGAATGTGGGAAGATGAGGTATCAGCTGAACTTCTACATTTTTTTTCAAGGTAGCTGTCATCATTTCTTAATAACACACCACATAAAATAAAATTAAAATAAAAAATAAAGTAAAAAAAGTCTTTCACAGTTCCCAAATACCAAATAACCCAGTGAAGAAGAATTGAGGAAATATGAAAATGGGAAAATTTTGGTGACCTAGGGTATTCTTGTAGGCTATTCCAAAGATTTAGGAAAGGCGAAACAGCATTTGATGTTCAGCTATTCTGCAAAAGATGCTTGTCAGATGCTTGCAAGAACGCCATTGAGATGTTAAAAAACTGTGTCATTTCGAAGAAACAAAAGCACAGTTATCATGACAAATTGAGAATCCTGAGGCTGAGGGTAATCATCTTGGCCATTCCATATTTCTTGGAATACTAAATGCCTTTATGATTTGATGCCCAGCTATCATGTGAATGATGATTGTTAAACACTTGCAAGAATGGCAGAGACTTGTCTTGCTGTGTCTCGAATTTGAGAAAAATAAAAGCTCAACTCATAATGGCAGAAAAAAACCACATGAAAAAACAAGCCATTCACTTTATCCTCTCTTCCAGGTTGCAAAGAACTTATGATCAATTTTGGTGGATAACATGCAGTTCGGAAGAGAGAAGAAAAATAAAAAATTACTCCATTTCCTATTCCTGTCCAAATGTCCTCATACAGTAAGGTCTTCTTTATCCAGATATAAAGTTTTTATCTTCAAATAAGGTCATATCCATATTTATGCAGGTCATAAAAAGAAACAAGACAAAGGATTAAGGTGATGTATGCAATTTTATTCAATAAGCGGTAAAAGGAGCTTAATTAGAACTTCACAAAACATTTATATGATAAAAGTTAGCCTTATGCAATCTCTAAGGGAAAATAATAAATTAAAACTTAAATGTTTGCATAGACACACTTCTACACACACTATCAGATATCTAAACCAACAAGAAACAGGCAATCAGGCAATCATTACACCACAAATAAAAATAAAAAATAAAAAAATAAGAAAAAACAACAGAATGTGATTTTCAATGTGAATGTTTTGACAAAAACTATGCATAGGTTAAGGTATCCTGCTTTGCCCAACAACAAAAGCAAAGAAACAAAAGCTTTAAATAGAAGAAATTTTAAGGGTTAAAGAACTTACTTGGCCCAAGAGTTGGCTGCAGACAAGTCAAATTGTTGTGTAGCAGCACAATCACTGGAACTCCCATAAATTATACCATTACAATCAGATGTCTCCCTAGGATTCAACAAAATATGATTCTCACTACTTGAAGTTCGGCCATGCAAAGTTTCTGGCAACCATGGGCCGTCAACAACGCTAGGCACAGAACTATTAATGGTCCTAGCATTCTGAAAATTGCCAAGAAAAATATTTTGAGAAGAATGAGTGCCAGCATTGATATTCTCATCATTCTTAAACAGTGAGGCCATTGTTTTCTGAGGTACCGGATGCATGATATCTTCCCTTGGTCTGCTCAGTTCTGGAGGCAAAAGCCAGCCGATGGATCCACCAACCAAACCTAGACCAGCCTGACCAAGAGGCGAGCTATTCCACATCTGCCATGTTCCACTGTCATTTGCATCGTTGGAATTATGCTGAGCTTTAGGAGTACTAGGGGAAAAAAAGGAACTACCCTGCCTTTCCTCTGAAACTCGTGATCGGGATAATGAGGACTGAATTGGCCATGGCTTGGTGACTTCAGATAGTGCAGGTTTTGTCTTCACAGCACACGATGCTTCCAATACTGTATCTTTAATAAAGCCGAGGTCCAAAGCAAAGTTATCAAGTGATTCAGAAACAGGCCCAAGCAAGGATACAGGGTCCAGAGCATAACAAGGGTCTTCAAAAATCTCTGACTCCACTGGTAAAAGTTGATCTGGTGCTTCTCCAATCCTAGGTAATACAGCTTCGGATGACGGTGGATGGCATCTGCTGCTTGTTAATCCAAAAGGAAGAGAGGGTAAAGTAGATGGCGGCAGCTGTCCAAAGTTAATAGGTCCATCAAATAGTTGTGGTGGACACTGAACTTCTGTTTGGGACTTCACGTTTGGCATACCAATGACATCTGGAATAGAGGGTGCAGAAACAGCAGCTGAACGAGTGAATAATTGTTCCCATGATTTTTTGGGGGCTGGACGTGGTTGAGGTTCAGTGAACACCTGCAGGAAAAACAACAGCATAAATACGTGCGTTACATAAAAAGAAACCACATGACAAAGGTCATGTGACTAGAGACTACAGTACAATAACCTGCTTAAGAGATGAACATACAAGTTCAGAACACAGGGACGAATTAAAAAATAAAAAGAAGAAGCAAGAAAGAGGGGAGAACCGGAGAGAATGGGGGGAGAAACCGAAGAAGAAGCAGAAATTCATGGGGGAGAGGGGAAGGGAGAGGAAGGAGAAGCCATATAAGCAACAAACCACCAAAATATTCTTCAATTCATCAAAAACTAATGAAATTACATCGCAATTAGGTTTAAATAGTAAAGATTAAAACCCTAAGTAGAATGGACTTGGACCAACACAAGCCCAATTACATAAATAAAATCTAAAACATAAATAAAGTCTAACTAAAAATAAATGAAAAGTAGATGTCCTCATCAACTCTCTCGGGGTGGGAGAAAAACTCGACCTGTCGAGTTGATAGATAGTATAGGCTGCAGTCAATATGATACTCCAAATGCGTCAAGTCAAGCCACGAGGATGATCTTTCTAACGAACCAAGTATCGAAATTCCATGATTGATAGTACTGAAAACTGAAGCTTATTCCCAAGAATATGATCTGACCAAGGGGGACGATCTTTCCTTCTAACCAAGTACTAATACTAGACTCCAAATAACCAATACTCATGCACCTCATCTTCAAGATTTTCACATGATTGTATATAATGAGGAGCATAAGAAGCACGTCGATCTACCCAACAAACAAGGAAGTACTGAATCTTGCCATCATTGGTCAATACAATACGTTCATCTAAAATAACATCAATTTTATCGTTATGTGCTGTGATAGATGGTATTGAAGTAGAAATATCAACATAGTCAAGTTGGGGGTCCATAAAACTAAGTAAAAATAGATCATCAAAGAAAATAACACGGTGTTTGTAAGTAATGAAGTCCTCAATATTTAAAGCAGAGTAGTAGCCAAAATGTGATGAAAGGGCAATGACGTGTGCATTTGAACCAACATGCTTTAAAATTTTTAAAGGACCAGCACTACAAGCTTGCAATATAACATAATCCCCAATATTAAATTCAAAATTTCTCTTATGCAAATCAGCTTGAAATTTATATAATGCATTACTTGCTTCAAATTGTTTATTGATCTCAATATGCAAGTCATGAAGATAACGTACAAATGCCTCAGCGGACGCAGACATACTAATATGTCGAGACATTTGAATAAGGTCTAAAGGTTTCCTAGACTTATAACCATGAATAGCTTTGATGGAACTTGTACCGATAAATCGATGCACAAAATTGTTATATGCAATTCAAATTGTTGGGAGGATCAAATCCCAATTCTCAAGATTTTCCTTGAAAAGGACATAACTACACAAATCATTCGTACCTTTAGGTTGGAAAAGAGTATGACACACAACATTTAACTGAGGGGTATCAGGAAGAAGGAGTACAACCCCTAGATTCATAGGAAAAGTCCTGATACTACATAAGGAAGTGTCCTCAATATCATTCAAGTCATCACATTCTTCAAATTTAGGTTCATAGATTTGATCTTTTAACGACTCTTCTATTACATCCTTTCGTTCTTCTATGACTAAGGCTCGATTAGGACATTTGGAAGAGATGTGGTCAAAGTCCTTACAGCTGATGCATAGCAGGTGAGAAGAAGTCCCTGAAGTTTCAAAAATTTTATCCTTATTTTCCAAGATTTGAGGAACATTAGACGGGGAAGGTCCTAGAAGAGAGGTGGAGCCAATGAGACGGAAGAATGGTTGTCAATACACCTTATATAAGGAGAAGGGGGCCTTGGACTATCACGACCTTTACACTAATTTTTCCAAATGAGAGGAACACTAGACGGGGAAGTCTCTATGACAGACTCATGTTGAGGTGGCGCTAATGACATGGGAGAACGATGGTGGTCGCGCTTTTCATATGAAGTACTAATAAGTAACTCGTAATCCCGAGCTGAAGAGTAAGCTTGGTCAAGAGTAGTGATGCCTCGAAAGAAAAGCTCACGTCTAAGTTCATCTCTTAGACTTTGTATAAACCTACTTAAAGTCAAGGTCTCATCCTCAACGACATGACATTTCACTCGAAATTTCTCAAATTGAGCAATGTACTCAGTTACTAGCCAATTCTCTTGTATAAGGGTGTTCCATTGGGTAAAAATTTCATGATCTAAGCAAAAATCGAAAGTAGGAGTATCTAAGTCAATGTCTCTAAAGAAACGCTCCTTACGACGAGGAAGAGCATGAGTACCATGATGACCATGGCCTTGTTCTCGCTCACGAATCTGATCCCTATTCCTACGATCGCGTCGAAAATATTTTTGATCATTTTGTCCATGATGATATTGTCTATTATGAGACACTTCAGAATTAGTGTCAATCAAACGAGGGGTTTGCTTAAAATTGCTCAACTTATCGGTTAGTTTATTTCTCTCCTCACGAGTAGCAGTTATATCTGATAAATCGATAGGTTAGTGGCAAGTTGCACTAATTATCTAGTGAGTGCATCAAATGGGGATGGATCCATGGTCAATGTATTGAAAATAGAGACGACAAGACGACCACTACGCAACTACATGCAATGTAATACCAACTAAATGACGTGCAATTATGAGAACAATAAACAATAAATGTAAGAAATGAAAAATAACAAACTAAGCATTTTTTTCAAGGTTAAATAAATTCAAATATCGCAAGCTAATACTGCTGATCTAGGTAAAATAACAAAGCACGGATCAAATAATAGTCAAAACCTAATCATGTACTATAAGTGGGGTAAAATAGGGTTTTGACGAAATCAACAGATTCAGTCACGTGACTTTAGGTATATTGTTAGAATAACATCACAAAAATTTAATTAACGCAATTTTAAATAAAGCAGTATTGTAAACCAATGACAAATATAAATCAAGTACTCCCTCTTGTTTAGTTGCAGCAGTGGTGCCCATGGAAGCTTAAACCTGATGGCGATGTACTTCAGGACCTAAAGAATCAGAACTGTGCCCAATTATGATTCCCCAGTTGGCAAGTCTCCAGTAGAAAATTATAATGGTATACTCCTAAGCAGTCGAGTCGCTGAATAGAACACTAATCCTCAAGAGTTTTAACAAGCTGCCCCAATGCAAATAATAGGCCAAATCCAATTCAACAAATGTCCCTGGCACTTTGAACTCAGAAGAAGTCCACCGATGTGAAAAATAAAGCGAAAATTGAACTCCGAGTGGTGCGTGACAACTGACGTGGCAGTGGATTGCTGGCGATTGGCAGTGAGAGTGGTCGCAGAAAGTGTGGTGACTGTGGGATACCGTCGGGGAAGGAGGAGTTTAGGGCTTGGGTTGATTGGGTATTGTAGATATGGGCTGGGTTAAGTGTTGTATATAATGGGCTAGGGTTATGGGCCGAGCGAATTTGGGACAAGTTATGGGTTGGATAGTGTTGGGCCGATTGTGATAATATGTGATAAGTGGATTGGATTTGGTGTTTATTGGGCTGAAAAGCAAGTGGATTCGCTAAATAGGTTATGAGAGATGGGTTGTGTGTCAGTGGGCTTTGGAAGTAATTTGGGCCATTAGCTTATGGCCCAAGTGTTTTGATAAAAAAATGAATGGACTAGGTTATAGAAATGGAATATATGGGCTGAAGGGCTGAATGGACTTGAATGTTAGGGTTTGGGATTTGTGGAACACCACCACAATTTTTTTTATTTATGAGCAGCAGCAGCCAAAAAAAAACGAGAAATTTTTTTTTTTTTTTATTAAGAAACTGACCAAAATACTAAACTGAAATCTGAGTGAACAGTACCCGCGATGAACAGTAACCTTTTTTTTTCAATTAAGACTGAAAATTGAAGAAGAAAAAAAACTGCTGCCTTTACCAAAATTCTTTTAGTTCGTGCTGTTCCAACAGATTTTGGGAAGAAGATATGAAGAAATTTTGGATTAAAGAAAAGAAATTACCAAGGTTCGGCACTGATACCAAATTTGATGCAGGACGAATTAAAAAATAAAAAGAAGAAGCAAGAAAAAGGGGAGAACCGGAGAGAATGGGGGGAGAAACCGAAGAAGAAACAAAAATTCATGGGGGAGAGGGGAAGGGAGAGGAAGGAGAAGCCATATAGGCAACAAACCACCAAAATATTCTTCAATTTATCAAAAACTAATGAAATTACATCGTAATTAGGTTTAAATAGTAAAGACTAAAACCCTAAGTAGAATAGACTTGGGGCAACACAAGCCCAATTATATAAATAAAATCTAAAACATAAATAAAGTCCAACTAAAAATAAATGAAAAGTAGATGTTCTCATCACTATCTATATTGGCCGAGTGCAGAAAATTAGCTTCCTTACTGCTTCAGTTAACTAACAAACCAATTAACAGCCAACCGAATCCACAATAAAGATGGGCAAACGAAGTTCAATTAAAAATAAAAGATAACTTACAGGACGATAGACATTCTTATCATCTCCATTTACATTTGATCTCCCAGATACCCATTCCTGCTGCAATACATCTTTCCTATATGCGGAACCTTGAACATTATCTACAGATGCATTAAGTCTGTGCTCGCTTGAAACAGTAGAAATATTAGCACTTTTTCCCAAAAAACCACCTCCAGTAAATGCTCTAGAAGAAGATATAAAGGTGCCCTTCATATGATCCAGGTATCTTGTTCCAGCAGTTCCTCGGTTATGACAGTTCATAGTAGCACCCTTAAATCCATGACCCACTTCTGGACTATGAAATTTCACATTTTCGGATGCATTACTGTATTGTTGGCATCTGTCACCATCTATTTTTTTGTCTCGCGTGCTTTCCTTGCCAATTCTCTTTTCCGATTCCTCGGCATCAGAATTGCTTTTGCTTGATCCCCTATCTCTTTCTTTCTTTCTATCCTGATGCTTCTTTTCAGATTCTTTTTTCCTATTTCTATCCTTATCAGGAGGGAACTCTTTTCTGTATTCTTTTCTGTCCTCCGTCTTCTCGTCACGCAATTTCCTACGTTCTTCAACCAACCTTGCAACTTCTTCTCTCTGCTTTCTTTCCTCCTCCTCCAGCAGCTCCTTCTCTAATCTAGCCTGCCTCTTTTCATCAGCTTTTCTGCGAGCTTTCTCTCCTCTACTCTTCTGAAAATTCCCTCCACTCTCGCCTCGCTTATCCAATAGCCGTATGAGCTCTGCATCAGTTGAAGTATTATCACTGGTCGAACTAACCCTAAAAATCTTCCGCCAAAGCCACACGATAGTCAACAAGAAAGTTGTAGATAACTTGCAAGTAAAAATAAATATGTGTGAATAAGACTTCTCTGCCGAAAAATGATTCACCTCACTAACATACCCACCTCCATTCTTCTTCCAATAACTTGACTTCTCATTATAAGGTCTCCCAACCCAATTCCCATTCTCTGACCAAACCGTTCCGTTGAACAGTGTACTACCTTTCCCCGCTAAATACTTCAAAATCCCTGAACTCCCCAAATCCAGAGAGGAGGGCAAGTCAAGAACCGGCCTCTTCGAAACATGACCACAATATGAGCAAGTAAACTTGCCCCCACCAGGACTCTGATCCCGATATGGAGTCAAACAATTCCTACACCTCCTTGTAGCAGTCTTCCTCAACTTTTGAATTTCAATTGCCTCAATCCTCCTCCTCTCCCCAAGCCAAGCATTCCTCCGGACCCGCCAGGCAGACAACTTAGGCATCAAAATCTCATACCAAAAAAGGGTTACCAACAGCACGAACACGCATGCCAGCCTTGGCGATGTGATTTCAAAACGGAAAGCAGGGGGCAATAGCTGCGATAGAGCCCAAAGCCCGATCAGTGGAATCACTAACCATGGCAACATGGTAGCAATCCTCCTTGACCACTTCTGAATCACACACAGTATGCACATTATCCTCCTTATGGCGCACCTCTCTCTACAGTCTTAAATGGGATAAATACTTTATCAATTAAAACCCCAGAAAAAAATAAAAGAAAGTACGTATAATTGCTCCTAAAAGGAGAAGATTTCCAAAAATCATATGCTCCAATATGCCCCTTTTCTCGATTCTTCCAATGCAATACCAGTTCTCGCGTTTCCTCCAAACCCTAGAGGAGCAATTCGTGGAAAATCACGTATTTAAAAAAAAGAAAGATTAAATCGACAAATCATTTTCATATGCCGAACATATCCGGACCGTGCTATTTAAATGCTCCAAAACCTAAAGAGTACCAAAGGAATCATATCAATCAAAGAAAACTAAAAACGTTAGATGAAAACATATATTGAGCTACGTATGAATATTCCGGCCATCTAAAAAACATTGGTCATGTCAGCGGTGGTTAACCTTTCCGGAGATGATTGTATTGTTTTGAATAGAAAGAAAATAATCAGAACGAAACGAACAAATAGACATAGTCAAAGTTCGCTTATAGAGCACCATATATATAATTGGGCCGGGCCGGGCCGGGCCGGGCCGGAGAGATGAGATTGGAGTCGGA